TGTCTACCAGTCCTTGACCAACCTCCGCAGACCCAAACCTTCACAACTGGGACACAAGGACACCATTGACTAATGGCCCTAATAGGGCCTTACCTCGTAGGCTGCCAATATTTGTTAATATGTGTTTTCACTGGAGCACATCCTTTGATGATATGTCTACTGGATTAATGGGTTTCCTAAACCTAACACTTTTAAATAAATATAAACCTGTGAACACAAGCACGTATTACTCATATTTCCTATAATACTTTTAGATATCCTTTTGAATTATGGTGAGGAAACACAAGACAAATGCTGGGTGATTTCATTAAGCTATTTAATAAATGACCCTCATTAAAACACTGGTCCCTTTGCCCTTGTCTAGGAAGATTCTGACTCCTACAAATGCCCACGTATACATTTCCATAGTATCTCTTTGGAGGATTCAGAACTATTTTCTTACACCGAACACAGCTCTTATTCCATTAAGAATAATTAGCTTCCATCCCATTTCTGACCCTCCAGAAAAACAAGACACTTAATTGACCACAGGAGGACTATCTCAAGGGCACCAGGCTGCGAAAGCTGTGCGGTGCCCTCACAACTTCAGCTGATGTAATCTGCTACAAGAAGCTGCTTCTATTTTTACATTACATCCTTTTACTCTCCCTGCAAAGGGCACATATATCACACACTGTAACTTTGCTTACAAAACACCTCGTGGTCCTGGAGGAACCACGCTGTCAGGAGCCTCCCACAGCACACAGCTGCCCAACCCCGCCCACTTAAATCCGCCCCCCCACCATTGCCTACTATTTGGTCCTGCGGGGAATAGCCAACGTGGTCACTTCCCAGGGATCTTGCTCCTTGACAAGGAGTGCAGGGTCCTGCTCCAAGGCTGGATCAAGCCCTCGCTCTGTATTTATTTCCTGACACAAATACTTCATAAAAGCCCCTAATATTGATGTCAAGAGCCTTGTCTCAGCCTGTGTGCTTCTAAAGGTGCCAGAATGGAGAGAGATTATTTGTTTTTTTTTTTGTTTTTTAACTTGTCCATTTATCATTTCAGTCATGCTGGACTTGCTAGGCATCTATGTTTTCTTCTGCTTACTTCTAAACATAATGACGAGTTCTGTGATGGGAATGGTGCCACTGCTGGGTCTGGCAGAGCTCAGAATGGTGTGTTTCTCTGGTCTACTTCCCTAGTCATTACAGGCACTCCACAGTTTGTCAGGCAATTCTCTCAGCCTCGAGGCATGGGCCCTTCCAGTCTCTGGACCATATTCAAACCTGAGGAAGCTTCTGAGAACACCAATTTGATCACATCCCTCCTTTCTCAACACCTCCTCACACTACCTTTGTCCTTCCACTCTGGTCCTACTTTCCCTTCCAGCAGCATGGCCCGGGTACCCCTGACCCACATCCAGCTTGCCTTCTGTGCTCTGGTTCTAAATGCCCCACAGCCTTCAGCTGAGCCTCTGTGCAAGCCGCTTCCTCAGGCAGGAGCTCTGCACTGTGGTCCCCACTTCCTCTAGTTTAGTCCTTCCCACTCATCTCCTTCGGAGGTCACTTGCCGCAGGACACCTGGCCTAGGTGATCCTGTGGCACCATATGGTACCTCAGATACTGTTTACCACACTGCCTTCTGTTCCTGTGCTCTATTTCAACAGGAAGGCAGAGATCCTGGGTGCGACCTGGGACATAGCTGGGCTTCCGTATTAGTGCTGAATGCACGACTAAATGAACATGTGCATGCGAAAGTTTCCAAATGGAGGGACCTCAACACAAAATAAGAATTAGAACTTTAGTCTCCTCCAGAAAGCGTGAACTCAACAGAATTGCTAGCAATGTGACTTTCGTTAGGACTCAGGAGTTGGAAGGTGAAGGTAGGAGCTTCCCTGAGGAGCTTGAACACTCCCCTCCAACACCACTACTCCCACAGTGACTCCTGAGGAGCTACTACAGCCAGATCCCTCAGCCAGATGACTCAGAAACACATTTGGGTAACACATTCCTGAGAGATCAATGGAGACTCTGTTTAAAATGCAAACCTTCTGGGACAAAACACTAACACTCACTCAAAGTTAAATTTCATGTTATGAGCTGCAAGTGAATAGAAAACTGTACACTTTAAAGTCGTTCCCAAGAGAAGAGCAACTCACAAATTAACAATGCTACTTCTAACCTGAAGAACCACACATGCCGATTTACAAAGCATCATAAGGTGTGACAGCTTGTATCTAGATGTTCTTCCAAAGCTGTATGCAGTCATAGGTGGGGCTTTTTGGAGGTGGCTGGATCTAGATTGTGTGCTGCTGGGATCAAGGATGTGATGCTGGGATTGCTTCACTGGTGTTAGGATTAAGAGTCTGAGTGCTACTCACCCTAAGGACAGCCTGGATAAGATATAAGGGACAAAAAGAGCTGCAGTGTTTGTTGCTTGTCATTTGTTGCTTATGGCTGGGGCGGTGGCGGTGGCAGCGGCTGCTGCTGCTGCTGCTGCTGTTGTCTTCTGCTCTGCAATGCTCCTCTGCCATGCCACTCTGCCTTCGGGCTAGCTGACTAGGGACTGAAACCTCTATAAACTGTGAGGCAAAATAAACCTCTCCTCCTGTAACTTTGGGTATTGGGTATTTTGTCTCAGCAGTGAGCAAGTAACTAAGACATAAGGTCAGTCACATATGTTGGGAGAGCCCAAGAGGTCTGAGAAGCCATGGCTCTCCTGGACCCTCCCCATCCAAGCCCTGAGGGCAAACTCAGGGCCAGGCCCTGGATAGGTGCTGGGACTATGGCTTACAGGAGAACCAGTATGGTTCCTGCCCTTGCAGTGAGTCCAACCGCATCAAATATACACTTGAAGACAGACTTGCCAAAAGAATTTGTTCCCTAAACTCTAAGTACATCATGTTCAGCTATTAAATTCAGCGCACATGGGATTAGGGAGTAAGGCATAGCTTCGGCTACGTTTGCATGGCAACAAATTTTTTTAAACCATATTTTCCAAAATCGACTGATTGATGACACCGAACAGTGGGAAATGTTTCAACATTCAAACCGAATGATGAAGGACTTGGTTTTTATTTCATCCTGACAGCTAGTAACTGCCCCTCCAAGTCCAAACAAAACCAACTAGACACAATTCCACGTGAAATTCTTCTGCTTCAGGGACAATCATATTTACTTTTATTACTTGGTACATAGGAAGTGCTTGATAACTGTTAATTGAATGGATAAATCACCACAGAGGTACTACTATGAAAATATCTTTGTTCATTTTGGGTATACTTTTCAACTTTCCTCTTTTGTCTCTTAAGGAAAAAAAATATGCAGATTTCATAGGATTCTGACTTTTTTTCCCTGTCTGACTATGGGATAATTACCTAACATGGGTGTGTTATTTCCCTTACATACAAAATGAAGTTTACATGTTGATTACCGTGTCACTGAAGGGAGTATATGTGACAGTGATCAGCAATATGCCCTGCAGACAATGTTATTGATATATTTTTTCTTTTTCTTTCTTTTCTTTCTTTCTTTCTTTCTTTCTTTCTTTCTTTCTTTCTTTCTTTCTTTCTTTCTTTTTCTTCTTTTGCTGAATGCACCATCAATGTATTCTTCTTAACCTCTAAGTAAAATGCTAAAGACAGAGCAAATTACTGGCATGATTAGAAAGTCTGAAAACTTCAAAAGGAACTCGGGGTCTCCAGAATCTAGCTATGAAACCTTGAAAGTTTTACCAATACCTTGATTTTCTAGCAGCTTTATATTCTTTTTTTATAAAAAGAGTGAGTTTCAATAGCTCATCTCTAAAAAGGTTTTCAGTTCTGACTTTCCATGAGCTCAGAAACCTGCTTCACTGACAATTGAGATAGCACTAACATGTGAAAGACGTCAATGATCTGGGGGAAAAAAAACCAAAACAGCACAACTGGATACTATATGCAATCTCTTCACAGAGAGGGACTCTAAACAAATCAAAAGAAAATTTAACTTCTAGAGGAATCTGTATCACTCTAATATCTAGATCAAGAAATGGTAACCATTCCCCTAGCAACGGAAGATCCCGTCTGCTTTCCACCCCCACACCTCTAACCTCCTAAGCACTAGCAATGTTTCCTACTCATAGCTTCCCCAGTGATGTATTTAAAAGGATATGCAGGCATTTTAAGCAGCATCTCTAATTACAAATGGATCATTTGAAATGAGTAAGACAGTTGACACGGTATCATGTCAAGTTCAACATTTGGCTGAGTCTTTCTTCTTTCCCACCCAGAAATATACCTAGCCGGCCAAACAAAGAACTACCAACGTTGTACACAACAACCACAACAACAAAAATCAAGGCATATTTTCATACACACTCAGTGCACGACTGCCACCCAGTGGTAGGATGTATCTTTGTGTGACAAAAATCTCCTAACAACTACATTGACACTCAATAATTTAAAAATGCAGATTGTTCCTATGCTGCTCACTAGTTCCTTCAGGAAAATTTAAGAAGATATCAGCTACTTTTTTTCCTCAGAGAAATTTCTGAGAAGTTTGATAAAATCAATACCCCCATCAGCTAATCCCACAGGAAAACTCCACTGCTTCAGAACATGTAGCCAAACAAAGAAGTACTACTATTTCCTTAATTCTAATACGCGTTCGCAATTCAGGAGACTTCCCAGGTAGTCTGCTCTCATTTTCTAGATGCGTTTGATCTAAACTTGATTTTTAGTTATACATGAAAAGGCATTTAAAAGTGACAACATTACAATATGTTCACATCCTATGAAAACCCACCTTCAATTAAAACCAGTTACTAAATTTCAGCAATTTCCAGCTGTCTCGTCTATCTCATCCTTGGAGAATTGTATATCACATTAATTGGTATTCTGTCACATAAGAAGATGTCAGCGATGATTAATTGCATCCTTGGTGTCTTTGAGTTATGTCTTCTTTACCAGAGGGATTCAAATCACACCTCATTACCCTCCAGCAGGTACCCTCTTGATAGCCCACGTGAAAACCCCTACCTTTCTAAACTTCTCCATTTGCTTGTAGAGGTCTGGATCGAGCTCCTGAGACACATCCTTCATCCATAACAGCGCCCCTCGGTATTCTGTCCGGCACTGCTCCATGCGGTTCACCGTCAGCCACGTGTCTGAGATGGCTCTATGCCGAAACGTCTCCACCTCCTGGTGAAATCTGCACAAAGGATTGCGCAAAGCCAACCTGGACAAGAAGGCAAAGCCCCAATCTCAAAACTAAGCCATTCCGCAGTTCAGTTTGAACCCTCGACATTGTGTCCAGCTTAAATTCATGAACACAGAACAGTGACTACAACATAAAAGATGCTCCGTCAAGATCTGATGAATAGTAATTAAAATAGGTGTGAGCTGACGAGTGAGCTAAAGGTGACCACCCATGTCCTCTTCCTTGAGTCTTTTGCTACTCAAGTGGACCATCTGGAAGCACCTCCGTCAGTGCTGGAGGTGGCCTCAAGTCTGGCCAGTGTTCACTTGAACTTGGAACCAATCCTGCTATGATGAACGATAAGTCCATTTCCATTTCTGCGTTTAATCATCCCGGCTCCCGCTCCCCTGAAGCTCAGCCCTTTGACAAGGATGAGAGTGTGTAGGATTAAGGTCCCCCTGACCTGGCCATTTTGATTGATCTTAAAGACCAGAACATCTGCTGCTTTCTGTAATGGTCACAAAGGAAAGAGGCACGAACTCAAGTGTTTAAAGATGGTATTGTTTCTAATGCTTTTCGAAACTACTTTTTATTCTCTTTAAAATAAAAATGGTGTAGGAAGAGATAAGCACATCTACTGGGGGTCTAGTATACATTACCATTTTCAAGTAGGTTATGTGATTTAGTCTTTATAAAGAGCCAGAAACAAGTGTATACTGTACACATGTAAATTCTAATATCAGCCATAACATACTGTCATTTATTCAAAAAAGTGTGAAGCCTATCAAGCCCTAGATAAAATATTTATATTGGGTGGAAAATATTGCTCCTTCCATATTCCTACCTAAAATGAACAACGCAAGATGAATTATAGTTTTAAAATATGTTCTTCTCCATGTGGTTTCAGGGCATAGCGAGCTATGAAAAGAAGATGAATATCTACATTTCAATGAGGGGACCGATGGTGCCAGGGAGCTGCAGTCAGCTTCTGGCAGGTCTATCAATGTCTGAGACACCTCACGTGTGTAGCACTATAAGCATGTAAGTGGTACAATGAACTGTTCAGGAAAAAATATCCCATTTTACTATTCTCCCTAATGTCTTTACTGAGCATTTCTATAAAAATAGCTTGTACACATTGTCCTGCATAGGTTGGAGGTTTTCTCAAAGAAACAGTTTTTGCACCATAAACTTGTGTTCTATCCTGTTGGTTTAATTTTTATACTCACCCTTCACTGAGCAGAATGAGCAATTGTAGCAATGACTAGCAAATAAGTCCGTTAAGCAGATACTGGTGTGCAGGTTTGTATGATTGGAGACATCTATTTAAAGAGATAAGCAGCCCTCAGATGTCTCCCTAAGGAATCTGTTCATTTCTGGATTCTTTTTGCCTCTTCCCTTGAATTTTGCCTATTTTCCTAAATGGGCTAAAAAAGAGACTCGTGAATAAACTCTTCTCAGTCTCTTGTGCTGTTGTAAAATTGGACAGAAATCTTTGAAGTTGCAGTAACATGATGCCGGGGGGAAAAAGGCTTACAAATCACCTCCTTTTTTTTCTTGAAACTTGCTTCAGATCAGATCAGAAAGGTAAGAACCCATTCACTGGTGATATGAAAGACCAAGAAAAATCTCAATAACCAAAAATATCAATCTTCAGTGCAAGATTGGCCCACATTTTTATTCATGAAAACTCATGCAATGAGAATAATAAACAAAGTGCCTAAAGGTCTAATCCAATTGTGTTTCTCCTTGAGTGGGAAAAGGTTAAAGTAAAATAAGAAATGAGCAGACGGGTTAAATGTATCCAGATTATGGACGGCTATACTACACCATGGATGATTTTAAAGATGTATACATTGAAATAAAAAAAGACGTTAGCATTATTTCATTTAAAAATTAATTCGCTAAATAATCTGTATATAATAGGATACTGGCAGGTCTATCAATGTCTGAGGTATGATGCTGTTTATGCTAAAAATGTATTTTAGTATACCCTAAATCATGTTCATTGAGGACTAAGAATCCAAGTTCACAAGAGTTCATTTAGATCCTCAACTTTCCACATAATTAGGAGAACTGGTTGGGATTTCATGTGCCTGGCAAGCTGCTGAGGTCATGAAACCAAAGCCATCCTGCGGGAGGCCAGCCTCTAAACTACAAGTTGGCCACACCTCATTAAATTACAGAGCACAGTTGGCTAATTTATATTACTGATATATTCAAGTATCATTTTTTTTTTTTTTTGTACCGGGAATTGAACTCAGGACCTTGAGCTTGCTGGGCAGGTGCTTGTGCCACTGAGCTATATCCCCAGCCCAAGTATCATTTGTTTCATTGATTTCTTTTACTGTTCTTGTTTGTATCCCAAGGTTAGATTACATAAACCAAAGGTACTATTTTATACTTTTTGAGATCATGAAAGGGTATAATGGACCACTTTACAGAATGGACAACATGATCAGTAATAGTAGCCCTGGTAATGTCCTGAGATTTGGCTTTGTGGAAGCCAAATAGAATATTTTTTCTTTTAGGAATCAATTTTCCTTGTAAGGAAGAAGGCTATATATACATGGAAAGTATTAAGGGCTTAAAAGTAGGTCTAACTCTATTAGTACGATTTTAGTTGCTTTTTAATTTTCTCCTTTTGCTTTGCCTCTGTTGTTAAATTGTAACATCAATTGAGTATGTGTATTTTTTATGTGTATTTTGTAACAACAATTGAGTATGTGTATTTTTGTTAAATTGTAACAGCAGTTGAGTATGTGTATTTTTTATAAGGAAAACAATCTGTTATAAGTAAGTGTAACAGGTACAGTTCAAGGTGATAAACAAACACTTTCTTGGAAAGTTGGTATAAATAAATATTGGAAATGGTTCCATTCGACTATCACAGTTGGTATTGCTCACAACTATGTCATATATAATGTCATTAAGAAGAATCTAAATTCCCAGGGATGGGGTCACTGAAATCTCGACATGCTAGATTCCTTTTTTCTCCTCTGCCTCCCTTAGGTTTTCATAGGAATACCCATGTGACAACATGCCAATGGCCTGCTCTTGGCTCACAGGAAAGGAAAGCACGAGGGAAAAATTAGTGAGAAATGGACAATGTACATAAGCAAAATTTCTGCACCTAAGTATTTTTGGAAACTACCTATAAGCTTCATTTCTTCAGAACACTAGTGTGTAATATTTAGGGGTAGGCTTGTGAGTCATTGGGCGGGAGGAAGAGCAAAAGATGTCCCCTTCTGAGGCTCAAAGAACAGCTGTGTGAGGGGCTCCTGCTTATTTCACGGTGGCTCACGTAAAAAGGAGCCTTGGCTGTGTGAATGCCACTGATCTCCCACAATTTGTTCTGTGCTGAAATTTCTCAAATTTGAATGTACATCAACCGTGGAGTTTGTCATAATGCAGACCTGCGGTGGAGCCCAGGTTCCGTATTTTTAACAGGTTCCCAGGCAGTACTGTTGACCCAGGACCTGGACAGTATAGACCAGAGCATTCTGAACAACACCTCTCTGCAGTTAACTGGCCCACGGAGAGAACACAGAGGACACTCTTCAAACCAGACTCATCAGACTCCTGCTTTAATCAGCTGCTGGAAGGGGACTGGTCTATGAGCAACTCCGAAGGTTAAATACACACCTGGGCAGCACTGATAGTGACTAGTGTATATTATGCACCCCGGAGACCAGCAAAAAATGTGAAAGAAGTTTTTCTTTTTTTTAAACTAACAGAGATGAATAAAGAATCCTATACACGTTATCTTAATCAGAGTTAAGCAGAAATAACAAGAGTCCTGATCAGCTTTTCAGCCTCAGGCCAAAGCCTTCCCAAGACTGTGAAGTTCCCTTTCATGTTAGTATGTGGGTCCCAGATTCTTTGTCCCCCAGAACTGATCCCCAATGAAGGCCACACACCTTTGCTGGGAGGAAAAGCAGAGTGCCTTCCCTGTCGCTTGCATCATTTTTCCTGCTCTGGTTTTATCTTGGAAGCCTTGGGACCGGAGAAATTTTCCCAGTTCATTTTCTTCTTGAGACAAGACTGATGAAAAAAAGATAGGAAGGAATGGTGAACAGAGAGCGTTTTTATTACAAAGAAAATGGGAGAAACAAATCACAAGGTCTACTCTCCTCCAGAGGCAAAGACACATGAAATTAAACCCAAGCGGCAGGCTACAAGGTGAGTTCTCCCCACCTCCCCCACCCTGCTATTTAATGCTCACGCTGTTCTTCCATTTATAATACCCGAGATCAAATTCACTTGAATACATCTGTCAGTGAGTTTGGTGCCCTGTAATCAGAACCAGAAAATGACCTCTGTCCTGAAAAGCGAGCCCATAATGTGCTGCTTCGAGCTGAAATAAAGGAGTTGGGTTTGTCAAGTGCGACTGTGGGAATCTTTTGTGGCTACCTATAATGCAATGCTGGCTGCCCCCTGTTACTCTCTCCCGCTGACTTTTTCATCTCCACTGTCTGAGTCGCTCTCCGCTCCACTGTGCAACAGGTTTTGGGTTGGAGGTGGGGGTGGTAGGAGAGGGCGCCTGGGTCATTAGGTCAACGACTTGGTAGAGTTTTGAAATACAGAGCTAGAACCAAATCTACATTGATTCTGCCTAATCTGGGCCTTATTTTTAAAAGACAACCTCAGCTGGGACTGTTGCAGAGAAAGTGATGTGGTAAAAGTTTTCCACAGATTAATAGGCAGTAAATGCAAAGAGTCATATAACGGTACGTGTTTTTCATACTGTCCTTTTTATACTGCGAGCAGTACACTCTAGGGAATTAGTAAAGTGACTTCATATATAATCAGCATCACATTTACAGTAGTGAAACACTTTCCTTCTTCTAGAGACTGATTTAATAAAATTTAGAGGAGCCCCATAACAGCACAAGGGTTTTTTTCTATAAATATTGCATGTACTATTATTACTCAGCGTTTACTAAATAACACTCCTATTCACTACTTTGATTCTGTCATATATCACATGTCTCTAAAACTGCTTCATAAATGCTTCAGGGATTCTGGTCTGTTTTTATGAGCCGTTCAAAATTCTTCCAGAACGCACCCCATTCCTGATATAACCTCTCTCCAGCAATGGCTATAGGAAACTGGCCAGAAACAATTCCAAAAGTGATGGCAAAGCTCACTCCTGCTTCCTTATTAATTTGTGGCTATGGGTCACTCTAAACAGTCTCCTGAGAGGATCCCAGGATGGCTTTTAAAATCTGTTTTCCTGAGAGATAAGTGATGGCTTTCCTTCTCGTGTTCTCTTTCAAAAATCAAGTTCACAGATGAAAGCCCAGCTCAAAGGTTTCTTCTGTGAAGTAGCTGGCCTACTGCTCTGGAGAGCAGTGCCCTTTGGGTACCTCTATTAGCACTTAGCATCAGAGGGCCAGTGTCAGAGTGTGTGTGGGTAGGCATGTATCTGTCCCACGAGACTCAGCTTTCTAGGACACAGATTTCATCCAAACTTTGTATTCCCCAGGCTGAACAGAAACTCTTATACACACGGTGCTAATTAAATGCTTGTGAAACTGAATCAACTATCACTTTTGCCCCAACAACCCCATACACTTTATTAAAATAAAATTGAGTGCTTATTTGATATTTATGCCATGGTTCTACGCAGCTTTAGAATTTTCTGGAATTATAAGAGGGTTTTGCTGTTTTGTTTTCTAAAACCTTCTATTTCTTCTCTTCACTGACTAGCATGTGACTCATCGAATTCCACAATGTATCCTTCTCTTTGGAAAGCAATTTCCCATTTTGCTCCTTGTTATGGTTTGTGTTTATATTTCCCGGAAAAGCTTCATATGGTCATAGGATCTAGAATGCATGACCCTGAAGTTGATTCACAGTGCAATGCTAGAATCAAGGGCGCTAGGATTAAGGGTGTGAGCACTACCTGTCCTAACTAACCTGGACAAGACATAAGGGACAGAAAGAGCTGTGATCCACCCTTGTTGCTCTACTACCTTCTGCCCAGCAAGAACTACTTCTCCTCTGTGATGCCTGTCTGCCATGCCACCCTGCCTCGGAGCCAGCTGATGATGGACTGAAACCTCTGCAAACTGTGAGCTAAATAAACCTTTCCTCCCTTAACTTGTGGGTGTTGGGTATTTTGTTTCAGCAATGAGAGAAAGTAACTATGACCCTCCTAATAGTGTGAGTACTGTCTTTTTTTTTTTTTTTTTTAACTACCTTGAAGCCTTAAATCACATACAAATGAACATGTTTAATCTTAAATCCAGGTACAAACCAATTCATGGTACTGAATGGTTGCATGGTTGGTAAAATGTACTCTTTCCTAAACGAACCTAAGTACGTCGAAACATTTAAAAATAATTTTTCACCATTTCGTATACTTGAGAATTACACTTAGGTAGTAAGCAGGTTTCATTTGAAGCACTGGTGCGTGACTTGGTAACGTTTCTGAAAACATGATGGAAAAAGTGTAAGTTCCATCAGCTGAGCTTTGATAAGAGATGGTCACTCTTTAAGAAATTCAAATAAAGCATGTAGATGCTTAAAACTCAGGTGGAACACACACATCTGATAACCCAGCTGTTTCTACTTATACAAAGATTTCAGTTAACTAGCACTTAAAATTCAAATAAAACTCTATTTACATTTGCTGATTAGATTTTCAGATGTGCCTTTTTAAAAAGCAACTAATCAGCTTAGCGGCATTAACTCACTCAGCCCAGATTTCTGGATCCAATATACACTAGACACTCTCCTGCCCCCGGGATACAGTGATGAACGAGACGCCAGGGGTTCCTGTTCTTCAGAGAGCTTCCATTTACATGGCAGGCGATAACAAATAAAGCACGCATGAGCACAAATTCGAAACACACAAAAGAACAACACCAGAAAGAACAATGAGAATGAGAGAGTTATGGGAAGCAGCTTTAGACTGAGTGGCCAGGAAAGCAATCTCAGAGCAGATGATTAATAATAAGCCAAGCTCGGACTCATCTAACATTGCCATGTCATGTAACCATGATGCAATGATCAACACAAAGACATTAACTGCAATCCTATCAACTGAAGTATAGACTCAACTTGAATTTTTACATTTCCTTCATGAATGTTATTATTCCTTGGAGGATCTGGTCTCACATCCCATGTTACACTGATATACTGAGTTGTCCTATTGTCTTCCAATTTGTGACAGTGCCTCTGTCTTTCAGACTTGGATGCATTTTTTATATCTCGCTTTCTGGGAATACTTGGTAGGATGCCCCTCAGTTTGGGTTCCTTTGGTTTACTATGATTAGGATGGGCTTGTGGGTTTAGTAAGGGTTGAGGAAGGTTGAGGATGGGCTTGTGGGTTGAGGAAGGACACCACAGGGGGAAGAGTCCTCTTCAGTACATGGCATCAAGGAATACATGATGGTGGTGCTGCGCATAAATTATCTCCGAGGATGTTGACCTCTAGCACTTGTTTAAGGTGGCATTTGCTTGGGTGTCTCTACTGTCAGGTTTAGTTTTTTCCCCTTGCAATTATGAAAAATTTTAAAGGGGAAAGACAGGAGACTTTGCAAATATCATTTCTCCTCAAACTTTCACTCACTAGCTGCTTTACTCTGCAGTGACTCTGACCTGCCATAATTCTTTCTGTGGTTTTTGCTTAATGGGACTTTTGTGGGGTTTTTAAAAATACATTTATTACCTGGAATTACTTTACAAGAAACAGCTATCCCTTTCACCAGCCTGCCCATCCATCCATCCATCCACCCACTCACCCACCCGCTCATCCATCCATTTCTACATGAACAATCATTTTTTCTACAGTACAATACTATTATTAATCATTTTATTGCTCAAATTGTACCAGCTTTGACCACAAGCTTGCTTTTGTCTCCTTTCAACCTACCCCTGTCATTTTAAATTTGAATTTTCCCTGCTCCAGTCCTGAAATCAATCACTTCTCCAAGGAGTGGGAAAACCTACTCACAAAAAAGTCTGAGTGCTAGGTGTGCTCGCTGACACAGGGAGCTAGTGCCTGGAGGCATTCTCAGCTGACAGAGGCAGGAAGTATATGAATGTACACTTACCCATTTACAAATGCTCACCTCTGCTTGTTCCTGTATGCTCATCTACCTGTATGTCGCTATTTCTCTCTATGACTCCTTGTAATACCTTCGAGTGCAGTACAACACACAATGCTCATTCTAGTCTTTTACCCTTTCCTTGTCCTTCTACTACAGTGGGAACCCATGCTCTCATTATCTACAATATGTTTACTTACCGATTTGCCTGAACACATTCACAGCTCAGTATACACAGTTTCAGAATTTCTAATTTTAGCCCCAAAGAAATAAATATACGGAAATGTAAATTCTTCATATGTATTTCTCTTTATGCTTCAGCTTACTATGCAGCTGAACACTATGGCTTTTAAAAATTGTGAGGGCTAGTTCTGCCCTTCTCTTGTTAAGGTGGTGATATTATTCACTTGTACTGCAATTTAGGCAGCACGAATTTGTTGCTGTTCGTATTCCATTGCAGACTCTCCCTGTTCGTGTCCTGGTGGGTGTTAGGTGTTCTCTTGAGCGCGGGGAACGGAACTACTGTGTTAAGAGGCAGAGCATCTGAAGGTAGCTCAGCGGGATACAGCCCCCTGCGCACCCTAGCCGTGGAAGCCTCATGGCTCCTCCTGAGCAACACTTCCGCCCACAGTCTATCCCCACCCCCTAACATCCGGTCTCCTTGGGTTCTGCTTTTCTTTTCTGAATTTCGTTAGTACAACAAGCAGACTACATGTATATTTGTGTGTGTACCTCCCCTTCATTTTTCTGCATTTATGTCTTTATCCTGCCTCATTCCCCCCATCTTGAGCAGGAAAGGCAACATGCTATAGACCAGCTTGGCTTCTATCATTTAAGATGATATCCTCAAAATCTCTCCCCATCGGTTCATAGAAATTTCCCTCATTTCTTTTCTCTGACAGCTGCATAGCAACACTCTCATATAACTACACTATTTTTAGTCCTCTATCAACCTTAAGATCCCTTCCAGTCTAAGAAGGGTAGAACTCCCCTTTCCCTGATGCCCCACAGTGGCATGGCTCACAGGAGCCTGCTGTGTGGCCCACTGGGGCTTACGCATACCAAAGCTACATTCTATGTGTCCAACTCGAAGACTAGGCCAATGGTGGGGCATTGCTGCAACCCCATGCATTGCAAGGTGCTCCTGAGCTGTGAATGTGTTCAGGCAAATTTCTATGAACTACTCAGGTGATTCAGGGGTGAGGTCTTTCTAGGTGTTCTATCTTTTCCATCTTTGCTTCTCTTTTTATTGATTTCATTTATTTAATAGAAATAGGGCACACTGGACTTCAAGTGACTTAACAAATAGTCACAATCTTATAAATGCCTTTTTGTAAAATTGATTTACTCTAAGATATTAACAGCATGATGAGTATAGTAAAAGAGAATTAGACCAATAATTCCCCAAACACTGTTTAAGCTAAGGTGTGAGCCATTCAGGTTTAAAAGGATACTCTGATCGTGGTGCAGACTTTTGGGTGGAGGATGCAGAGACAAGATGATCAAGCAGGGAGCTGGTTTAGCAAGCCATGTGAGAGAATGATAGTAAGGCCTGAACTGGGGTGGTACAAGGAGGACGGGGAGAGAGGTGAAGCTGAAAGCTATACAGGACACAAAGCATTGTAGCTTTTGAGGCTGGCTAGATGCAGGACGGGCAAAAGCTGGTGGATGTGCACCATATGCCTTGATTCCCTCACAGACCCTGGAGTTGCAGCCCAGAGACATTTTCTTCTCTATCTTTCTCCTTTCTTTCTCTTTCTCTTTCCTTCCTTCCTTTTTTCCCTTTCTTTCTTTCTTTATCTTTCTTTTCTCTCTCTCTTCTCTCCTTTCCTCTATCCCAGTTGTTCTTTCCTTTTGAGCAGTTTCTTTCCCTTTCACAATATCTATCCTACCTTTCAAATTTTATTTACTCTCTGTTTCTTACATTATGGAGACAATGTGATGTTTTACACATGAGTCATTTATTTCACTTTTGAGTATGGTCTCTAGTTACACCCATTTACCTATAAAAGCCTCGAGTTTATCTTTCTTTCTAGCTGAGTAATACTCCATTGTATAAAATACCACATCTTTTTTATCCATTCCTCAGTTGATGGGCATTTGGGTTGCTTCCACGATTTAGCTATTACGAATTGCTCTGCTATAAACATGGGTGCACATATATCGTATGATACGATGCTTTCAGTTCTTCTGGAAAAATACCCAGAAAGGGAATAGCTAGATTGAATGGGACCTCTAATCCTATTTTTTAAAGGAATCTGCACACTGATTTCCACCGTGGTTTCACCAGTCTACACTCCTACCAACAGTGGAGAAGTGTTCCTTTCTCCCCACAGCCCCTCCAGCATTTGTTATTGGTTGATTTCTTGATCATAGCCATTCTTTCCAGCGTGACATGGAATCACAGTGTTGTTTTAATTTGCATTTCTTGAATGACCAATGATGTTGAACATTTTTTCATGTATTTATTTGTCATTTGTATTTCTTCATCTGAGAAGTGTGTATTTATCTCACATGTCCATTTTTGGATTGGGTCTTTGAATTTTGGGGGTCTGATTTTTTAAAATTCTTTGCATGTTCAAGATGATGATATTAAGCTGTTGCTCCCTGGTAACCCAATGTCTAATGTAAGAAATTTTCTGGAGAAAGTACTGCCAGTAATGTATTATCAATGAATTAACTATGTGTTTTTTTTCTTCGCTTGACCATTTTATCTTTTTTTAAATTTTAGTTTATTAGTACATGTGTGTACTACATAATATTTACATTCCTTATGGGAATACTTGAATGTACATAACACACCTTCATTCCTTTTTTCATCCTCTTGACCCGTCTCTTGATCTCTTTCCTTTTTTTGTTTTTTGGTACATGTTTGCCATACATAATGTCCATACTCTTTTTGTGGACTTGGTACATGTATGTAACAACCAGTTTACAAGGAACAAAATTGGATGTAAGAGAGCCAGTGCAATGAAATAAAAGTAACCTCATATTAAAAAGGCCAAGAGAACAGAGAAAAATATTTTTGTAATTGGGAAAATAAATACATTCTATATATCTATGGAAGAGCCAATATAAAATTCTCCTAATATCTAATTTGTTTAGAAAGGTAAACAGCCTCCATAAATTAGTAAAATTTTTAGAGACCTTCCTCATGGCTTAAACAGCAAAGACAAACTCCCCTAAATAGTCTCCAAAATATATTAAATGATATATTAAGATAAAATATCTTGCTCTTCTTTAAATCTTTATTTGATTGATGTTCATACTTATGGAATACTCACAACATATCCTCTTTTGATAAAGTACAATTGCTTTAGACAAGTCCAAACAGGTTCTCTGGATGGAGTGAAACAGCTGCAATACAAATACAAACAAAACAGTAAATAAAACATACAGCAGCAAAATTAAAATAATTATACTGAATAAAACCATAGCATTTGATTTGTCCACTACAAAACAAGGTCATGTGTTTAAGTGTGTTGGTGTTGTGTTATGTGATGAACGATACAAGTCTGTGGCCATTCCATTTTACTGGGTCCCGTTGCTTGTATTCTTATTGGATTTCACCATTTTTGTGGTCTGATTTAATATGTATAGAACAATTCTTCAAGACTACTGAAATAATAGCTGAAAACAGAAGATCCTAGCGAATGGCTCAATTAGAGGATTTGGTAAACCAGAGACCTGATATTCATGTAACCTAATTTATTCCCTTCACCACTTGCTGCCTTTTTCTTTTTAATGGAAGATCTGTCAAGTAAACATCTTATTTAAAAGATGTCATTAACTTACTTTGTGATCCTAATGTATTTTATGGTATGCTTAAACAACTCAATAAAGCAAACAAAGATCAATCAGCTGAATGCTCTGCCTGTTTAGAAGACATCTGGTACAATGGTGCTTAGCTAGAAGCAAACATCACTATTTATTTTCCTAATCATTTCATAAAATATACAGAGAGACAACATAATGCGATATGATGGTCATATTAGAGAAAACCAGGGGAGAGGCAGGTGGGACTCTACCAAAGAGAATTTAGCTAGACTTTAACTCATGGTGATCTCTTTATTTGCTTAATAAACCAAGACAGCTCAGTAAAGATAGAGCAGATGTTATAGTTTTAATCTTAAATGTTCCCTGAAGACCCACAGGCCAAAGACTCTAGTGCCAGCCTATGGTGCTATTGGAAGATGGCCGAAATCTCAGGGGGTGGGGCTAGTGGAAGGAAGATAATAAGTCTTTGAAGGTGCCCCTGAAGTGGATTTTGGGACATCACCTCTTCCTCTCTCTCTGCTTCCGGGGCTCCAGGTGAGTATGTTTTCATTGCCATATTCTTCAGACACGATGTGCTGCTTCATCAGAGGCCCCAAAGCAATGGGGCCACGTGGTCATAAAGTTCAACTTCTAAAATCAGGAGCCACAATAAACTTCTTCCTTTTGTATCTTTACTTATCTCAGGTATTTGTCACAGTGACGGAAGCTAACACAACAGACTTTATATTTTATCTACCTTCTGTCCACAGACTCAGAGACTTGGGCTGATAGCAACAGGAGAACCTAGCAGAGGAACATGCTGCCCCTCCAGAGCCTCTCAGTGAGGCAGAGCAAGATTTTTCTTCTTCCTCTCCCCCTGGCTTACTGGCCACGTGGATGAAGAAATTATGCCTCTGTGTCACAAAGCACTTCAACATTTGAGTGAAAACAGATGATCTGCTTCATTATCAATGACTACATTTTCTAATAAAAGTGGATGCATGTGTATATTCTTAAAAGATGACAAATCAATGCTAAGAACACTTAATATAATAAAACTAGCTCATGAAGAATATAAATTTACTAATTTATTAAATTGCATCCTTGATCTATTTAGATAAGAAAACAAATACTCCTTACCACAAAATGAAACAAAAATCAGCAGTCTGAATCTGTTTCTAGAAAATCAGTATTTGGGGTCACAGACCACCAAGACATTAGGATTCTAATTCTTGAATATAGGAGCAAAGAGCTTTCTACCATTATTGTTCACTTTTTAAAAATTAAGATAGAAGTTAAATGCAATAAAATGAACAGCTCTGCAGTGTTCAGTTCTGTGAGTTCCGATGACTGTATACATTATAACCACATCCACAGCAAGAAAAGCAGCCTCTCTTATCATCAGGACAGTCCACTCTACCCTGGCAGCCATTCAAAGGCTGTCATCACTATTCATGGGTTTTTGTTCCTAAACTAACGAGATGTTTTTGAAAAAAAGAAAAAAAAAAAAAAAAAAAAGATCTAGTTAACCACTACTGTGGACAAATACTAAAAGTTGGCACATTTTTCTTGTGTAGTTGTGCAGATTGAATCTAGGGCCTTCACTCTGAGCAGTAACCCTATGCCTTTCTTATTTTTTATTTTGAGGCAAAATCTTGCTAAGTCACTAAGTTGCCCAGGCTGAGGTCAATCTTGCAGTCCTCCTGTCTCAGCCGCCCAGAATGACGTGTTTATAGACATGTACTACCATGTCTGGCTATCAGCACAACATTTCTATATCAACTTCCCAATGGATGGCAAGAGAATCTGACCATTATTAAAACATGGCACATGATCTTCTGTGCCAGTACAGTGAAACATTTTGGTCTACAAATTAGCCTTTGATGGAGTAACTCAGTATAAAAGGGCATCATATGGTTTGCATATCTCTTTCATGTTTTGTTGATGAACTCAGTGCTTTCTATAAATTTCAATATCAGTATTACATTTCTACATCAGACACCCCTATCATGGGTAAAATTATTAGTCATAGCTAAGTACTTTGGATGCTAAGTGTCTAAGACAGCAGATATTTGGTTTAGTGTGTGGTTGCTTCAATAAAAGTCCTGCTACATAAAAATATAATGTTTAGCTTAGTAGTAAGTAGTATATTAAATTACTTCTCAAATAAGGGTTACCTTTACTGGTTTGTAAAAAATAAAAAAGCTATAAGATATGAAAAGCATATACAGCTTACCTTAATTTGGGGGGAGGGTGTTAGGAATTGGGCCTAGGACCTTCACACTGAGCTACATACTCAGCCCATTAATTCATTAAATCAATCATTCACTTAAGATTTGAGACATGGTCTTGCTAAGTCAGTCAGGCAGGACTCAAACTTGAGATCCTCCAGCCTCAGCCTACCAAGTGTTGCGATTACATGCATGTAACTCCACACTCAGCTCACTTAATAATAATTAAAACTATCATTCAAGTGCAAAAATCAGAATAGATGCTGCTTGAGTCTACTTTTTTAACAATAGAATCTCTCCTTGTCCAACTCAGATTCTATTTCAAAACTTCCATTTACAAAAGTAACACAAGGGCTGAGAACGAATAGTAATCATGAACATGTGCAGTTATTTACTTAGTACCTGTGGAGTGTGTACTGTGTGACTGTCTGGGGACACAGTGATTATGATTAACCCAGAATTTGACCTTTTGGTGGAGGAAAGACAAGCAGACAAACAAATACCTAACACAATTTAATCAGAGATGAGAATTCTGAGCAAAATAAAACAAGGTTGTATGTTAGTGAATACACAGTGAAGGTGAGGAATGGTAAATAATGTGACTAAACAGCATATTGGGGTAAGGCTTCTCAAGGGTACCATTAGGCTGAGACTCGAATTATGAGAAGGTCAAGAGAAGATCTGGAGAGAGTGTGTCTGGTCAGACCACAGGAAAAGCTGACATACGTGAACTTGCCTGGTTGTAGCCCAAGCACTGAGAATGAGTCGTTATGGCTGGAGGTAGTGAGGATACTGTAAGTGTTGTGGGAGAATAGGGAAATGGAACAGGTATGTCAGGAGCTTTGCTAGGTATCAGAAATAACGTATGGAAAGGGTGCTGAATGCTCCCTGGGATGTGAACACTTGGTAACATGAGCCACAACTCTAGCTATGTAATTTAGCACTCATAGAAGTTACAATGGAGTTAATGCTATGTAATTGAGCACTCATAGAAGTTATAATGGAGTTAAGTTACCTCCATTTCATGCTCTAAGAAAATCAGAATAAGAGAAACCAGGTAGTTCTCCTAAGGTTACAACAATCAGCAGGTACAAGAGTAGCTCAGATTCACTGGACAAGGCATTGATACTATTGAATTTAGTCCATCTCTCATGGGGAAATCTAAACGTCAGGAGGTTCTGTCTAGGTCTGGTCTACCTTCCAATCCTGATTCCTCAGATATCACTAGTCGCAGCTCTGTGATTGCACTAATTTTATTCAACATTTAATAGGACTTTACCACAGGCCATACATTCCAAAGAATTTCTTAAAGAACAAATTAACTGAGTCGTGGTAGTGGTTAAAGAGAACTCGTTGATGTGCTGGGACTGAATTTTCCTGATCTTAGATGTTCCCCATTTTCAAATATAAAGCACACGTAGGCCTGCCCAGGTGAGCTGATTCCAGCACGGCGCTGAGAGCTGTAAGGAGCTCACCTCTAGCTTGGCATCCAGGTCTGCATCCGAGGCAACAACATGTTCATCTTCCTTCTTCCCCGTGGCTTTAATGAAGGCCTGCTTGGTTTCCCAATACTTCTGTTGCATTTTATTGACAACCGACTTGTCTTGAGCATACCGATCCTGTAAGTCCCAGGAATAACCACTAAAAACATTTAAAGAGCTATTTTATTCATGAATTTCATGACTATTAAGATACTAGAGTATAAAAGCATTTATCTAACCCTGACTTTCTAGTACACATTTATATCTACCGCATTCATAAATGTGTAAATACTTCTGCTGTGTTTATCACACCAAGAAAGTCAACCAATTCTTTCTCACTCTAAAATCTTAAAAGCTAGAATGAGGACAGTTAGAATCCTTTTTAGGAAACTAGGAAGCTAAACCTGGAAAAGAGTTTAGGTATCAGTAGGGTGCACACGCTTCTTTTGCAGATGGAGAAAAAAGGGCCCAGGAGGCCCAGTGGACTGGCTCAAGGCACCCCAGGAGCTACAGCCAAGGTGCAGACGCCAGCACACTTCCCACTCCCCATCAAGGTGACAGCGAGGAGACAGCAGGGAAGTACGGAAGGGGTGAAAAGACATCACACACTTAAAATCTGGTAGAGGAACTTACAATAGCCAAATTCACAGAGTCAGGGAGTAGGAATTGGGTTAAGCCTGGGCAAAGAGGGAAAAGAGGAAATTGCTGATCAACAGGCATGTGAATTTTAGTTACAGAAGATAAACAAGTTCTAGGGATCCGCTGCACCGCACTGTACCTAGTTACTGTATTGGGTTGTATTATGCATGCAAAAATTTGTTAAAAGGGTAGAGATCTCATATTCATTGTTCTTACCACAACAGAAAAGTTCATAAGAATTTAAAATCTGTTAACTCAAACTTAAATACCACATGCTTTCTCTTATATGAAAAACTCAATACACACATAATATGCATGAATTAAAAGACAGATAATAGGAAAAAAGAGAGAGGAAAAAAAGCATTGTAATGCAGTGTGGACAATGTATCTAAAAGTGTCCCTTGTCCTATTATAATGGTCTTACATGTTCGATATGTTCTTTGGCCTGTGAGTCTGGTTTTCAATCTGTATATGTGATAATTAACTTTATAAGGTCACATAAAATAAACAAATGACTCTGATGCTGGCAAAATAAAAGAAGGTGGAAGGAAAGGGGAGGAAAGAATTCACCTGTGTTATGTACTTGTACCAATCCTCTGCAATGAATGTAAGCATTATGTGCTGAACACATGTACTAATAAAGTAAAAAAAAGCACTAATAAAGACAAAGCCAGCCCAGAGTCATAAGGCAAGGTGTACTAATAAAGTAAAAAAAAAGCACAAAAAACAGACTCCTGATGTTAACAACTTTAAATTCTCCAGCATAAATGCTTAAGATATGGATAGCAAGCCATTCTTCTGGAAGGTCACAATGAAGAGCAAACCCAAAAGAATATAAAGATGAAATCAGAAATAAAATGGAGAATGAAATGGAATTCTCTGAAAGTGACCAGAATATCCCAAATGCTGACACGAAGTTTGCTGCTGGTGCTGCATTCCTTCCTGTTCTACCTACACCTTCCTTGGTTGAGGATTCCAGCTCCCAAGGCCCACACAAGGCCCCAAGCGTCTCTCCTCTGTAGATATGCAGCTCATTCCACCTCTGTCTATCACCACCCTAGATGTCCAGACTTCCATCCCATGAGTTGCTTTATACCACTAGATCAAAACACCAGTATCTCTAAACATGATGCTTTATACTCTCTTTCATTTACATTTTTATTACATTTATAATTTTCAATTTGTAAATTTATTCTTAAAATGCCAGTAGTTCAGATGCTTCCTTAACAATGGTTATCTTTGGGGGCTGGGGATTTAGCTCAGCGGCAAAGTGCCTGCCTGGCAAGCGCAAGGTCATGAATTCAGTTCCTGGTACCGGAGAAAAACCAAAAACCAAAAAAAACAAAAAAACCAATGGTTATCTTTGGTGAGAAAGGCAGGATTATGGGAGACTTTCATGATCTGCTTTATCTCTACCTGTATTATTTAATAGTGAGTTCATAGCAGAGAAAACTAGACAAAAATATGTATAACATTTATATAAAAGATAATCCCTTGATGTACTATGTATGTGTGACAGGTTAAGTTGATTGGCCTGGGAGTCGCCTAGGGGCTTAGTAAAGCACACTTCTGGGTGTGTGTGGGTAGGTCTTGGAGGAGTGACTTCAGACATTGTGTCTGACCCTGGCCCCTTCTTCTTTGGTGCTGCTCCTGACCCTGCTGAACCAGCCAACCATGGATTGAGCCCTCTGGAACCCTGAGCCAAATTAAATCTCTCTTAACCTTTAAGATACTGGGGTCAAGTACTTGGCCCCAGCAATGGGGAAGCTAGCTAACACAGCTGATTAAAAGACTGGAAGGATCCATCCCCAAGACTGTGGGTTCTCCTGAGTACGGGATTCTCAAGAATGAGGCAGAGGAAGGACTTCTTTGTTGTATCTTCTTTTGCCAATGATTATAGATCGACAGGAAAAAATTTTAATTTGGAAAAAAAAGGGTCGGGGGACTTCAGCAATCTGGTGAACACTTCCTAGGCCCTATCATTTCAAAAAATGAGAAATCTTAGTCTTAGAATGGTTAAGAATCTTGCTTAAAATCCAGGCCTTTCAAATGCAGTCCGGTGCTCACTGCAATTCATTCCACAGCCCTTGTGTTTCAGCACAAGCCGTGAAGTGGAATGACTGGGAGAAAGAGTTTGGGAAAGGGTCTACTTCGCTGGGCCTTCCAGTCTCTGGGATAGATACTGTTATTCGTCTGAGCTTCCTGCCAGGATATGACAGCCACCTCAATGTCATGAGATAAAGCCAGCCCAGAGTCACAAGGCAAGTGGAAACAGTTCAAGGAAAAGACGGCTGACAATACTTAGATGATTGTCAGGTGGGTATACTCAGGGAAATGCTATCCCTTTGTCACTTATTAATTACTTTAAAAACTCATTACATTTCCAGAGTTCTCTTTAAGTTTAACATTTGATATCACAGAGCACTCGGGCCTGAATGCTTCTTTAAAGACAGGCGAGGAATTAGAAAGTTTCTTATTTTAATGAACTGTACATAAAAGGGAAAGTATGCACTACCTTTTACAACATGCAAATTAAAGAAGGCAAAACACGACAAAAATCTGCTTGCTTGATGAGTGTTGGGTGCAAAGGACTGAGACACACTGCTTGAAGAGCTCTGGAACTTGTGAAAGGTTTTATATGCTGCTTAGATGTGTTATAGGCATAGAAATGACAGAACTAACATTGATTACCACATCCACTTTATTCAGCGTGATACACTTCCAACCACAAGTAGTGTGTGAGTGTTCATGATAGTTGAAGCCATAACTATAAATTAAGTCTCAATAGTATGTGATTGTAGAATCATTCTTTATTTTATAGCTATGCTACATAAAATTCCCTCATGTCTCGATTGATGGAAGTTATAAATGAGTCATAAAAAATATACCAACTCCTTAAGTTAGAAAAAATGGTAGTAAAAATCGTTTTTCTCAAAAGTTATACAAAAGTGAATTTTTTAGAAACTACACATTAGACAAAAATTTATATATTTTTGCTTAGTTTTTCATTTTTCCACGTTGAGGAGGGATACTGAATTTGGTATACTTATCAGTAAAGAAGTGCTAACAAGTTATTTACTGCTAACAGATTTCTTTTTCCTTTTTTTGGTACCGGAAAACAAACTTAGGACCTTGTGCTTGCCAGGCAGGCACTGTGCCATTGTGCTACATACATCCCCTATTTACTGCTAACAGGTCTCCTGATTTTTCCATTAAATAATTTATGGAGCATAAATGATGTGGTTTCCATCTTGTTAGGCTGTTCCAATTTATAACAAGCGAAAACACTACTTACCATTTTTGTCCTGCCATACTTTCGTCCTTTTTCTATTGCTAGCGATTTGGGGAGAAGGGGCAGGGAAAAAGCACGAGAGGATATGTTATAGTAAACCTGAAATGAAACAAATACGTTTCACTCATACACGACCTTATGCATTAATTTTTCACACAACATTTGTTAGTCTAAGCCATTTTAAGCTGCATTTTAGGAACCAAATATTACACTGTTCCACAGCAGTAGTGTACATTAGCATCAAGAATAATTTATTTAAACCACTGGAAGAAATATCGCAAATGAAGCATTAAGAAGTCAACAGGTAAGATAAAAATGGTTTCAGAAGAAGGCCATATAAAATACTTTACAAGTTATATGAAGTTTAAAAATAAATGCAAAAATAATACTGCATATTGCTGAGATAGATATTATATAACTATAAAGAATTTGTTTTAAAGAAATCATACTTGAAAATTTTTAGTGATGACATTTGTGTAAAATGTAAAGTTAAATATAAATAACTTCAAGAGTGAAATAAAAGGTGACAGAAAGGCAGGAGGCAGACTTTGGACACAGGAAGAGGTGGGGCAGACGGGAGACAGCAGAGGGGAAGGAAAGTAAAAATGATTAAGATGCTATCTGTATGAGTAATAATTTCCCAAGATGAAGATAATTATTATGTACAGCAAACATATATCAATAACAAAAAAACTAAAAAGAAAAGGCAACGCTGTGTGAAAAGAAACAAAATAAATAAATAATGAATTCCACTGTGATGAAGCTGCAGTGCACGATATTCTTGATAAGTTCCAAGCCCAGAGTATCTGCAAAAACTGTGTATGTTTTAATATTAAAACCACCATGTTTTTATTTGTTTTTAAGTTACATTTATTGTAAGTGGTACATTAAAAGCATAAAATGTGTACAAACTGGTATATGTAACTTTCAACACAAAGAATTTCTCAGGAATAATGAATAAATGCTAAATTCCAGATAGTTCATCAAGGTGGAGGGTGTGTTTGTGAGAGATGTGGCGAGGTCTCTGCCGTACATGTAGCATTTTCTGTTAAGCTGGGTGGAAAATATATTGCGTCTGCATCTTTATAGAGTTGAAATATTTCACACTAAATATTTTAAAGAAATGAAAGAGACTTGAAGGCATCAATCATGGAAGTTCTCACAGGCCACTCCAGAAGATGCATCTAAAGCAACAAGAACGTGGGTGGCTGGGGAGATAGTTGGGGAATGCAAGAAATCTCTGGATTGCACTTGAGGGAGAAGGCAACCAGGCAAAACCCAGAAATACTGATATTTTAAAACACAGGTAAAGTCACCGCACACACTGGTACTGAACAAATAACAGTTAGGGAGGAGAGGAAGCACCCCTTTGCTGGGGCGCTAAGAGGAAGTTAAATCTGCCTTGGCCCACAGTGTGGAAGAACAGAGGCTCCCACATTTTTCTATCTCTAGAACACAGCAAGTGCTTCCCTACAGGGAGGCAGTGGGAATCTTCCTTAGGAGTCATCCCGGACTGAGGAGAATGGTACTGTGACAGTAAAACTAAAATCATATGGTACACGGAAAGACCCCAGTGGCTGGGTCACAGAAGATTGGACTCTCGGCTGAGAAAGTCTCCATGCAGTGGCATGAAACCCAGCGGGCAGCAAGCGCATTCAGCCAGAGGAAGGGGAAGAAAACTCCACAAAGCAAAGCAGAATGGCAGTTTGAATACTGTGATAGGGAAAGCATTGAGATGCATGAAGTTTTGTAGGGAAGGGGTCTGAGTCCAGAAGAACTGCTGTGGGAGCCAGTGGAAGGCTGGGTGCTGGCATTTTTTATTTTAGTACAGTACAGACCCTGTGTGCCCAACACCTGTGCCCTGCTCAGAGGCATTCAGAGTGCAGAGTCCTGAGCCATGCCTCTTACAGCAGGGTCATGCTTTCCTACACGAAAGGTTGTTTCATGGGGTTTTCTAACTTTGTTTTATCAGTTTGTTAAGTAGATTCAATCCCCGTATCTCTTCTCTTACTTTCTATTTATATACTCCTCTTTCTTTCCTTCTCCTTTCATACTCTCCCATATCTCTCTTCCCTCCCCCTTTCTCTTATATATAAATATGATCATTAATCTCTTTGTCCCCAAGCCTATTAAACATTACTGATGGGTTTTTCACCTTAATAAAAATTCTGCTAAGTCACCATGGCAGCAAGTCAATATGGCGTGGCCCACTGGAGGCCATGTGGCTGGCTCTGCCTTCCTGCTCCTCTGTCATATTACAACTTCCTATTTCCTTTTTTACATATTGTTTCCCTCTTCCTGCCCCCTGTCCAATCATTGCCCTCCAAGTCACACAGGTCATCCCCTAAACCCCACTCCCAGCCTGGCCCTATATAGCCTTTTGCCTCAGGCCAGCCCCTCAGAAACTCCACGTCTCTCCTTTCTGCTGTGATCTTCTCTATTCCCACAATAAAGGTATTTTTTACTTTTCTCTGTTTTAACTTCCGCCAAAAACCCTAACAATTACTATTTTCCTTTTCCTGGGTTAGGAAAGTAGTAGAAAACATTTAAAACACATTTTATAAGTTGACATATGGTTGGTTGTTTAGATGTTGATATTACTGGGAGTTATTCTCTCATTGAAAGCAGTGCTAGGGATTGACTGACCCTAGCACCTTTACTAGGTTGAGTTGTGCCCCTCATGCTGAGACATACCAATAGCCTAGGGCACAACACAAAGAGAGAGCATGAATTAATCAATTAGAATGATCAGTGAAGTCAAAGAAAAACAAATAAGCAGCTGAATGGATTAAAAAAGACAATGTAGGGTATGAAACACCTGAAGAAGAACCAAATGGAAATTCTGGAAAAGAAAACCTCAATTGGTCAAATAAAAGGTCAACTGAATTTCTCAACAGTAGGCTTGATGAAAGAGAAGAAAGACTACCAGGGCATAAAGACAAGATGGATATACTAGAAAAGTCAGTAATAAAGAAATAAGAGTAAGAAATAATAAAGTATGGAAGAGCTCTTGAACAACTGTAAAGGACCAAATTTAAGAATCACTGGGTTGGAAGAAGGAGAAGAAATAGATGTTAATTCATAGAAAACTCATTCACTGAAATTATAGCAGAAAACTTCCTGGATCTGGGGAATTAAATGGATAGTCAGGTACTACAGGAGTTTAGAACTTGAAATAGACATGACCAGAAATAATTGCCAACAGCTCAGTCAAGCTACCAACAATTCAAAACAAAGAAAGAATATTAAAAGCTCACAGAAACTCTAAATCACTTACAATGGCAGTCCTATCAGAATATAAGCAGATTCCTCAGCAGAAACTAAAGGCTAAGAGGGCTTGAAATAATGTACATCAAGGCCATAAGGAAAATAATTGAAAAGCTACATTATTATATCCTACAAGGGTACCCTTTAGAACAGAAGAGATAAAAACCTTCCAACTTCTCTTGTTTTTTGGTACAGGGGATCGAACTCAGGACCCTGCTTTTATAAGCCGGGTGCTTACGCCACTGAACTATATCCCCAGCCCAACATAAAAACCTTCCAAGGAAAGTATAAACTAAAGAAATTAATGAGCAAGTCAGCACTGCAGAACATACTTAAGGAAATCCTAAGTACTTAGGATTTCTCTAAATATAGAGAAAGAAGACAATCACAACCACAAGAGCACAAGAAAGAATGTCTTTGGAAAGGTAGATGAAAATCAGAGTGAATAAAACACTAGAAAAACAACAAAATGACAAGAATTAGTACATACCTTTATAAATGGTTTAATTCTGCAATTAAAACACACAGATTAGAAGATTATATAAAAAACAAGACCCAAGTATATATTCTGTGCAAAAAACATATCTCATCTGAAAAGACATACACAGACTGAAAACAAAGGATGGCAAATAATACTGAAGCTATATGGAATCCAAAAGAAAGCCATAGTAACTATACTTATATCTGACAAAGTAGATTTCAAATGAAAACTAATTAGAAGAGACAAGGCTTCTGCATGTTGATAAAGAGAACAGAGACGAGATGATAACTGTAAATATATATGCAGAAAATATCAGTTCACTCAATTACATAAGACAAATACTAGTTGACATAAAGCAATACATAGACCCCAATGCAATCATAGTGGGTAAACTCCAATACCCTACTCTCACAAGTAGGTAGGTCAACCAGACAAAAACTGACAGAGAAAGACTCATCAAAATTAAAATACACTATAGATCAAATGGGTTTAATAGACATCTACAGAGTGTTCCATCCAATGGTAGAAGACACATAATACACATTCTTTTCTGCACCTAAAGAACTTCCTCTAAAATGGACTATAGTTTAGGCTATAAAACAAGTCCTATTCACTAAGTTGGAATAAACCTATGCATCCTGTTGGATTACAAAGGAACAAAACTACAAATAAACAGCAAAGGAGACCACAGGAGGCACACAAATACATGCAGACTGACTAACACACTATTGAATGCTCAGTGGGTCATTGAAAGAAATCAGATGAGAAATGAAAAGATTCCTTGAATCAAATATAATAGAAACACAATGCACTGGACTCTATGAAACACAATGGAAGGAGTTCCATAAAGAACATTAATGGTTATGAATGCCTATGTTAGAAAATCAGAACAATCCCAATTAAATAACATTGATATATCTCAAGGTCCTAGAAAGACAAGAACAAACCAAACCTCAGACCAGTAGAAAGAAAAAAATAATGAAGATCAGAGTTGAAGTTAATGAAATAGACTAAAATAACAATGAAAAGGATCAATAAATCTCAGAGTTGATTCTTTGAAAAGGTAAACAAGAGCAATAAATCCTTAGCAAAGCTTATGAAAAGAAAGGACCCAAATTAATAAAATCTGAACTGAAAAGGTCAAAGGACAACAGACACCACTGAAATGGCAGACACCACAGAACTATGAGAAACGGTTTTCAGAACATGTACTACAATTAATTTGGGTACTACAAGAAATGGACAAAGTCCTAGGCACATAGAGATGACCTACCAAATTGAATTAAGAAGATATTAAAAATATCTAAACAGATCACTAACAAGCAACGAGATCAAAACACGAATAAAAACT